GAACGGTCTATAACATTAGAGAGAGAAAACAAAAAGGTTACACAAGTTCAAGAGAGAGAATCCCACTACAATAAAGAGAGAGAAAAAGATGGAGAGAGGTGGTGGGTTGTTGCTCAATATTACCTCGTACCGTTCAGTCAAAAGTTTTTGGTGTCAATTTTCTCTCTCTATTTTTCTTTTTTGAAATCCCTCTCTCTATGTCTCTTTCTCCCTCATCTCATCCACCAATATATCTTTGATTGCAGTTCTCGTGAAACACTAAAAAAGAAGGCTCCACATGATACCAAACACAATAAAATATGAGCATTGATTAGAGAAGAATCCGGCGGTTCTTTTGCTAAGATGGACTCACTAAGGAGAGAGCCACGAGTTTCTAAGAGAGAGAAATAAGAGTGTTTCTAGAGAGAGAAAAAGGAGTTGTAATCAGTTTATCGAAAAATTCGGGCGGTCTAAATTCTAATCGCTTGGTTAGATTCGATTAGATCGGAACTCGTCATTGGCTGGTTTTGATGAATTGACATGATATTTTTAAAAAATAAGTAAAAAAATAAGTTATATAAATTCTCAATAAATAATGGATTTTTTATATGTATTTTTTTAATGTTTTTCATTATTTTGACAAAGATTGGACATCGTTTTGGCCATTAAAACTTATTTTTATATTTTTTTCATCTTTTCTTTTTATAAATAAAAAATACCTTGGGCACAAATCGATTATTTAAATTTTGATATTTTCATTAATTTTCAATTTCATTTGGATGTGTTCTGTTTGATCGTGTTTTAAATATATTTCTTTATTTTTTAATATCGATTTGATTGCCCGAGACTTATTCCAACTTCATTTTTTTATTTTTTAATACCATTAAGACCTAATTGGTATTTTTTAATATCAATTAGACCAATTGAACCGTTTCCAACCCCATGTCCAATTAATCATTCCGGTTCAATTTTTCCGTTGTAACGTACTTCCGTATATACCATGGTAGGGCCTCTAATCCCCTGCTATTTACCCAAAAAGAGAAGAAAAGAGTAGTTGTTGCTAGAGAGAGAAGCACGTTCTTCCGTTTCAAGAGAAATAAACAAGTGTGTTTTTAGAGAGAGAGAGAAGAAATAGGAGTTGCGACATGCTTATGTGTACCGTGAGAAATAAGGTAGGGCCTCTAATACCCCACTGATTTAACCAAAAAGATAAAAAAATAAAAGGAAAAAAATATAAGTTGTTGCTAGAGAGAGAAACACGTTCCCCCTTTCTTTGGCCTTAAGAGAGAGAAGCACGTTTTTGGAGAGAGAAAGAACAAAAGGAGTTGTTGTTAGAGAGAGAAACATGCACTCGGAGAATGGTAGTCGAAAAAAAATGGTATTTAATGTGAAAAATAATCAGTAAAGTAATCAAACTTGCACTTTTGTTGTTGTTGTTGTCCTCAAACATGATCTGGCTTTTATGATTCTTTGGAGCGGTTCAAAACTCGGGTTATAGATTGTCCACCCCTGTATCTATCTGGAATACGTGGATCGGCTGAATCGGTACGAATTCGTCAAAATGATCATTAAAATACTAGTATTGGGTGATCGTGGGGAGATCCGGATCACCCACTTGGTGGTTTCAATCTGGGTTTGCGATTTTCGATCCACATTATTGGGTTTTAAAATGAAAAAATATTTACAGAGACCATTTACCTTAGGATACGGTTTTCATGCGGCCTAGCCTGCACATGTAAAAATATGGGCTTCTTAATAAATTTATTTTTGAGATGGATTTTAAGACTTAAATGACATGTAATCCCTAACATGGAGATCATGAATACAAAAAAATAAATAAATTTAAAAAATTAAAAATAATAATTCTAGTACCATTATCACTTTCACTGCCAAACTACTTTCCCTCTGCTGTTATGTCATGGGCCATAGATTACCATTTATTTTCTCGTACCATTATCACTTTCACTGTCTCACCTCACATGTCTCTCTATAACTTATGCTCTCTCCAAGACATCGCCCTGTTTAATTAGCATCCCACACAGTCAAACAAGTTTTTATTATTTTTAGGCCTTACTCAAACTCTTACCGCACAAAGCATATCAAATGTCAAATTATTTCATGTTTCTGTCGGAGCATTTTGTGTATTTACTTCCCCAATAAAACCAGATTTAGGATATTTTTTTAGATCCTTAAAACTGGGGACGTGAACTCTTCAAACCCAATACTCATCTCAATTAAAAGAATTCCAAAGTGAATTCTTTATTGACTTGAAGAGAAGTAATATCTAGAGATTTACAAGACTATCTAATATTCTGACTCTGATATTTATGTGTTAGAAAATTTAAGATTCAATTTTTTTTTTTCTTTTGAAAATAATTGCTTGGTGATTCTTAAGTGGTTCTTAAAATTTTGAATTGAAAAAAATACCCTCTCAAGTTGTTTTCTGAATGCGTGAGTACGAGTACAGTGTGATCCTGTGGGAGCATCATAGACGTCCTCATTTAACATTAACATTTATTTCTCACTTCAATATTCATTCATAAGTGGCGTGTCACGTGCAAGCAGTCACCCACCGCCCATATTTTAATTTGTTTATAGATAAATTAACGATGAAAATATAGAACTATTTTTTAAGCTTTAATCTTTACAAATAAAAATGGAAATATATTTTAAAACTACCGAACAAATTTTCAATATTAAAACTACATTTCTCAACACTTTTTGAAATTAGGTTTTAATTCGATTGTTAGAGCCTAGGCTCTATACAAACCGAGCCCTTTATTTATTTGTTCGATTTGACCGCAATAAAATAATTGCTTTAATTTTATTTTATTTAACTTTAAGAAAAATATTTGCTTATTTGACAGACTAGCTTTGGGCACGTGTCAAGTACAATTAGGTGGGCCTCTACCTTCTCTTTTTCTATTATTAAATTAAGGAAGATTGTTTCATATGGGCTGCATTTCTATATATGCGGTCCAAAAAGTGTAAAGCATCCATCTTTAAAACGGATGTAAGAATGTTAATGGTCTAAATGTTTTTTTATTAAATTGTTTTTTTTAGTTTTTAAAATTTATTTATTTTTTCGTATTCGTGATCTCCACGTAAGAGATTAGTGTCTTTAAAAATTTAGTCCTAAAATTCGTCTCAAATATAGATTTATTAAGAGGCCCACATTTCTATATGTGCGAGTTTGGCCGCATATAAACCGGGTCCTTAAATCAATGAGAAAATTACATAAATATCCGTTATATTTTGTATTATTATGGATCTACTAAACAGTTTCCGTGATTACATGTATGTCAGTTTTTTACCTTTTATAAAGTAAATTTTTTTAAAAAAATACGATTTTACCCTTTTTCGGATGTTGAATAACCGAATTCGAGGGTTTTTTGGATATTCAACATCCAAAAATAGGCCGAAAGTTTAACGTTCAAAATCCCATTTTCGGGTGTTGAACATCCGAATTGAAAGGTTATATCGATACATTGTATTCCTTGTGAAAATGATTTCAAACGTTGGACATCCGAAAAACCTTTCAATTCAGATGTTCAATACCCGAAAATGGGAATGTTAAACTTTCGGCCTATTTTCGGATGATGAACATCCGAAAAACCCTTCAATTCGGTTATTCAACATCCGAAAAAAAGTAAACTCGTATTTTTTTAAAAAGTGCATTATAAAAAGTAAAAAACGAACATAAATGTAATAACGAAAACTATTTGGTACATTCTTAATAACACAAAATATAACGGAAATGTATGTAATTTTCTCTAAATTAATTATATTCATGAACTTTTCGTACTCTTGATGCACGTGTCAATGTAAAATTCAATTCGTGATTAACACAAAAAACAAACTTGAATTACAATTTTCGATCTTATGACATTGCTCTTAATTATGAATTATAAAAAATTTAGATGGCAATATATATATTTTTTAAAATTTAATGTTGAGTATATTAACAAAGAAAAAAGTTTATATAAGGTTGCAACCTTAAAATGTAGAAATAAAGGTGCACCTAAAAAACCGATTATAAGAGGTTGTATGGATGTTAAAAAACCTTCTAATTGATCACTTTGACATCGAGATGAATGAAAAAAAAAAAAGATTTCGAGTCCGTGAAATAGTGTATCTTGTAACACATTATCTATACCATCCATTTTCAAGATTTTTATGTGCTTATAATTAGATATAAGTTTAACCATTTTTAGAGTTCAAAAGTTTATAATTAGATATCAAAATAAATTCTCAAGCCATCTTATGAATTTTCTATATCCAAAGTACATTTATGATAAATTTTAGAAGTGCACCTTAATTGGGGATTTTTTAAGATTGCAACCTTATGCCACACCCTTAGAAAAACAACATATGCAAGTGTACACTGGCAAAACCTATCTGTCGTATTTCATAGAATTAAAAAATATCATGAATAATTTATATTTTACAAACATGTGCCTTTTATTAAGGAGGAAAAATTGCAGATAACTCTCGATTTAGTATTTTTTAGACAACCTCCTCCCAATCAAATTTTTTTTTAGCAACCTCTCCGTATTCAGTGTGACGTTAGAAAATTGTGTTTTGGGGTAAAGGTTGTAGACAACCTCCTCCTAATCAATTTTTTTTTGACAACCTCCCTTTATTCGGTGTGACGCTAGAAAATTATGTTTTGAGGTAAAAGTTGTGAACAAATTTAATTGAGAAAGATCGTCTAAAAAGTCCTAAGTTGGGGACATTTATAATTTTCTTATTAATAATGCATTTTGTAGATAAATTTCATTTTATTATTTATTTATTTATTAACATGTAAATTACCCATATTTTGATGTACGGTGAAGATTACCCGCGTGCCCAGCGAAATCTCGCGGAAACTTTTCTCCATAGCGCCACGTGCGAAATCATTAAAACACCGGCACCTCTTAACCCAACCCAGGTAACTAATTAACCGCGGTTGTTTAATCCCAACCCACCCCTCGTATAAAGAAGCCATGGTTCATTGCCATCAGTTTTTTGTGGTTCAACAACTGGCTTTTTCTCCTTTCCAAAGGTTCTTTTTGGGAGTTGCAGGTTTTAAGGAAACCCTAAAATTCTCTCTCGAACTTCCACTAAAGAAGGTTGCTTTTGTTTCTAGGATAAAGTTATAGCTTGGTTATGCTATCTTCTTAGGTTAAAGATATGGGGATGAGAGGGCTGAAGCTCTGTTGAAATTCTAGGTTTGAGGAATAGAGGTTGAAGCTCTGTGAGAAACTTGATTTCTGAGGTTAGGATCTGAGAGAGAGAGAGAGAGGTATCAGAGGGTTAGATGTCAAAGGAGAAGCTCAATTTGGTGGTTAGGGATCTGGAGAGAGGTGGGGGTCACTATTGGGGAACTGAGTCATTGGGTTTGAAAGTTAGGGTTAGGGATCTGTAAAGGGAAGGTCGGTTGGTTTCATGGAGGCCTTGTCTCATAGCTGGTGTTGATGTTTTGTTTAAGGGATCTGAGAACAAGGAGTAGTGTTGAGGGATTTGGTGGGTTTGGGCGTTTTGCTTTGTTTGTTGTCGAAAAGGTTGGGTTTTTTGGTTTGAATGAGCGTGGAGATTCTGGGTCTTGTTCAATTGGGAAATGGGGAGTTTCAGGCCTTTCCGGAGCTGGTTTCATGGGGCTAGGATTTGAAGGTCTGTTTTAAAGATCTGCAATTTCTAAAGGAAAATCAAGGGCTTGTATGTTTATTGAATCTGTTGCATTCAATAGTTAGTGGTGTCTTCCAAGTGGTATTAGTATGAGGATTTCTATAATTGATTAGAAAGGAAGAGAAAGAGAAATTACAGCCGAGGCGATTGTGAGGATGTGATTTTAGTCCAATGACCCTTGCAAAAGAACCAAAATTTATTGTTTTAGCACTTGAAGAATGCTATAGTGCTAGTTAGTTAGAAAAAATCAAGGGAGTGAGCAGGCAAATCAATTATCTTTGCAGATTCAGGGTCTGGATAACCAATTGCATCCTAGAAAAATCATAGAAAAAGAGGAACTTTTGATACTTGGGTGTTGAGAAATCAGCTGAAAGAGGTATTTTTTATGCCTGGGTTTTAAGAAATATTCTGAAATTTTTCTCAAACTGAGCAGAAGTCAAAGGTGCGTGTTTGTTTTTCTGGGTTTCATGCCTGCTCATTGCCAAGAAAGCACATATTTAGCTCAGATATATGTAATCTGGTTGAAGAGATTGTACCCACAAGCAAAGCATTTTTTGCTATTATGGCCCATGCTGTTCCTTTAACAAGTTGTTGGCCAAGTCACATCTTTTTGGAAGTGATGAATTGCCAACATTTGGAAGAATAATCTTTGAAGGTTAGTACCTTTCCTTTTAGATGCCGTATATTTTGTTCATGATGTTTTCATGTCCTTTTATTAGTATCTGAATTGTGTTATAACCTTTTGTTTATTAATAGAGGTTATATATTTAACTCTGTACATTTTCTTCTAAAGACATCTCAAATTGAAATACAATTCATAACCGATAACAGTGTAGTATGAGCCAGCAATGTCTTTTGCTTTTTATGCACATACTTTCAAAAAGTCAGAACACTGAAATCTTTCTGTTGTAGCCCTTTTTTTTAACCATTAAAAAAGATGTCATTTCTTCACTGTTGCGGTGATATAGCATCCCATTTCCCGATTATGTACACATATATAAGATATTGGAATTTGAAAAAGGCAAAAAGGATATTGATTTTTTTTGGTGATATTTTCAGTGTGAAATTTCTTGAAATGGAGAACTATGGTAAGTTTTGGAAAGATGAGGATAGGGCCATGGTGGAAGCTGTTCTGGGGCCCCAAGCATTCGAGTACCTGACAACTAGCAACAATGTCTTATCTGAGGGAGTTCTAACCTCCATTAGTGATGGCAGTTTGCAGCAAAAGCTGTGCGATTTAGTGGAGAAATCGACCCCTTCAATTAACTGGACCTATGCCATCTTTTGGCAATTCTCTCGATCAAAAACCAATGATCTTGTTCTGGGGTGGGGCGATGGCTATTGCCGAGAACCAAAGGAAGGAGAAGGAGAAGAAGGACCAATCAACCGACCCGATCAGAAAATGCGAAAGAGGGTGTTACAAAGGCTTCACACTTTTTTCGGGGGTTCAGAAGAGGACAACTATGCAGTGGGTTTGGACAAAATTTCTGATACAGAGATGTTTTACCTTACTTCCATGTATTACTCGTTTCCTCGTGGGGTTGGGCTGCCTGGTAAAGCCTTAACAGCTGGAAAACCCATCTGGATTAGTGACCCAGAGAGTTGTTTTGCTCATTACTCTTCGAGGTCATATCTTGCTAAATGTGCAGGTTTCAAAACCCTTGTTTGCTTTCCTATTGAAACTGGGGTTTTAGAGCTTGGTTCAGTGAACTCAATTCCTGAATACCAAAGTATATTACATGAAATCAGGTCTATATTGACGGGTGTCTATTCTTCTAATCCCCAAGCCTCAGCTTCATACCCAAAAATTTTTGGGCATGACTTAAGGTTAGGAAGAGACAAATTGCAACACACTGGTAATGAACTGTTAGCGGCTAAGGTGGAAGAAAAGGAATATCCCAATGTTTTGGGTCCCCCACAAGAGAGAGTCTCTCTTCCAATGATGGGAGGTAAGAAAGAGATGAGTTGGAACCAAGTTCATAATGTTGACTCAGGAGAGATCTATAAGCCCCAAGCTTTTCAGAAACATGGGGGTGGTATTCTGATCACTAACAGTGAAAATGTTTATGGCAAGTATTCTAATGGTGGAAACAGTGTGGGAGATAACAATAGAACAAAGTTGTTTCCTCAACAAAGGCAGATTGACTTTACAGGAGCTTCGCGAAGTCCTGTATTGATGCCTGTGAACCATCATATGGGGGCCCTGGAATCAGAGCTCTCTGATAAAGAAGAGAGAGCACCTCAGGCTGATGAGAGGAGACCAAGAAAGAGAGGAAGAAAGCCAGCAAATGGAAGAGAGGAGCCTCTGAATCACGTTGAAGCAGAGCGCCAGAGGAGAGAGAAGCTTAACCAGCGGTTCTATGCTTTGAGAGCTGTGGTTCCAAATATCTCTAAGATGGATAAGGCCTCTTTGCTTGGAGATGCCATTAGTTACATAACAGACCTACAGAAGAAGCTCAGAGACATGGAGGCTGAGAAAGAGAAGCAAGCCAGCTCTTCAGAAGCCAAAGCAGCTGATGATCAGAAGCTAGGTTTGGTTCCTGAGATTGATATTCAAACAGTGAACGAGGAGTTGATCATTTGTTTGAGCTGCCCATTGGATGAGCACCCAATTGCTAAAGTTGTCGAGACACTTCGAGAAATGCAGGTTACAGTGCAAGAATCTAGGGTTTGCACAAGAGAAGACTCAGTTCTCCATACTTTTGTGATCAAGCCCCATGTAGGAACAGAGCAGTTGTTAAAAGGGAAGTTGAATGCTGCACTCTCTAGATGACCCACGTCATGGGCTACGAGCTAACACTAAAGCCATTAACTGCCTGGTATGAATACTTAAGACTCTTTTGATCTTTGTATCAAGGTGCATTTAGTTATGGTAATTTTTGGATTATAGTGTATATCCATGCCCTTTGCACCATATAGGGACAGAGGCGCACAATTAGTGAACGGTGAAAGAAGGTGCACAATGTTTTTTTTTTTTAGAGTATTAAGTACAATCTTGTCCTCATTTTGTTTTAGTGAAATGAGCTTCTTTGTAGCGTTTTAAGTGTAGGTTAAAATATGGATAGTTCTAATCCACGATCACAAGCTCATTCAAAACCTCATTTTTCTTTTTTATACATGAGGAGAACTACTGTTCTTGCAGTTTTTTTGATGGGCCCATGGGCACCGTCAAAAACAGTCTCCCTGTTATAAGAAATGTAATGGACATGTCTAATGGATTTTTTTCTTTCTTTTATTTATTATGGTTGTAAATGCTGATCATATGTATTAAACGTGGCTTTTGGATGGATGAGTGATGGTTTCATATTGTGGTTTGTGGATGGGGCAGCAGACTGGCTTGTCTTTTTAAATCTGTTATTTGTCCGCCCCTTCTCATGCTATGTATTATATCATTTTCTTCTGCGCCCCAGCTTGATCATATTCTTCCAAGTTGTGTTTTGATTAAAACTGGATCATTAGGACTAGTTTTACTTGGGTAAAGAAAGAAAGAATGCACGAGGGAAAAACAAATGCACGAGGGAAAAACAAAGGCATGAGGGTAAGGAAGAAGGAAACATCTGGGTTGGATTCTTTATCAAAAAAAAACATCTGGGTTGGATTCTTTATCAGAAAAAAACATCTGGGTTGGGTATTTTCACTATAAGGTGCAACTAACATTGAGGGTATAATATTTTATCTACATTAAGATTTTTGAGTTAGATTCTTTTCGTGGTAATTGAGATGGTTAGGAGACAGTGTAGAGGGATCCTTGAAAATGGAGAGAAAGAGAGAGAGAGAGAGAGAGAATGTTTAGAGTTTACTCCCTTTCATGATAAGTTGTTATATGATGTCTCTATCATTCATTTGCTCTGATTTGCACTATTTTACCAATTGTAAAGTTGACTGGGTGTACATAGTATAGTATAAGAGAGAGCACCCCTACGAAGAGATAAAAAGCAAAGACAGAGCACATGTATTTTGTGGTTTAGTAGCTGTGGTTCCTTAAGAGATTGGTATAGTCATATTGTAGCCTTGATGGTCTTTGCACTTTGGGTATATTAATTTGACTATTTAGCGCTAACCAATTTAGACTAAAGAATTTGTATTGTATTAGGCCTAGGCTTTACATAAAGGTCAAAGTTACACCTCAAATCAGTGAAACAATGACACTATGATAAAATAAAAATCCATTTCTGCCCCTGATTCTGATATTTGAACTCCAAATATTTTGCAGATCTAACTTATCTATAAATTCTTGCAATGGACATCTAGATAATGTATGGGTTAGAAGATGCACTATTTCAAAGACTTGAAACCATTTTTTTTTTTTTAGGGCTTGAAATCCTTTTTTGTTTTTTCATCACTAAGGGCTTTCTGATGCCCTACATACATTTCTCACCAGGATTTTGACGTGCAACTCTTGTTTTTCACTGAAAAGCCTAGGTTTTATATTAATTTGTTTCTTCCTTGATTGTAGTAGTACCCGTTTTTGAACACAACATGAACTTGTTATGATGTACTTCCCCACCCTGCCTCTCTCTTCGCCCCAAGCTTACCTGGTCAGGTCCTTGTCAGTTGGACCCAACCAGATCCACCGGGTCCACGCTAACTGGGTTGTCCCAACATGATATGCAACCTTAGTGCACGTACCCATGGACCTTGTCAAGTCTTGGTTCAGTGGACGCAGACCAGACCTGCTTGGTCCACACTTGGACCCAGCCTGATCCGATTTGCATCCCAGAGTACGCTTGCATGTGTAGTCACAAGAAAAACAAAAAAAGGAAGAAAAACAAAAAAGGAAGACAAGGATAATAAGACTATAAGAGAAACTATCTTCAGAGTTTCCATTTCTTGTCGATTCAATAAAAGGAGGCTGGAAATTTGATTCTTATCGAAGTACATAAATACTGATCAGAAGTTGAAAACAGTCCAACGTTCCACATTTTCACGGCCATTGCTTCATTCTATAGTTGGGCAGAATGTTCTCCCTCTCCTTTATCTAAACAGATCACAGTCTCCATCTTTTATGAGGATCTTCTCTTTCATTGATCATAGAGGGTTATTGCATCCTCGGTGAACAAGTCCAGCAGTGCCAACGCCTGAAAAAAGAAAATACAATATTTGCGTAATTGCCGTGGATTTTTTTGGGGTTTTGGGTGGGGGAGAGAGATTCGGATGGTAAAAAAACGTGTTACAAAAACCAAAAAAAATATATATATATATATTTAAAAATAAAAAATACAAAAAATCTAAGAAAAATTTAAAACAAAAAATACAAAAAAAATCTAAATTTAAAAACAAAAAATTACAAAAACAATCTAACTAAAATGGAAAAATGTAAAAATAAGTATTAATAGCCAATACACTTTTCAATCTTTACAAAATGATTGAAAATCATTACAAAACACAGTACAAACAAATCTCTTATTTTTTGAAATTTTATATAAATTTTTTAAAATACCTAGACTTGCTGGTTCTGATCTAACCGGCCATTTCTGATTATATTGCATTCACTGATGGGAAGAGACATGGGATTTCTTCGATGTGGGCAGGGAGAGAGAGAGAGAGAGAGAGAGAGAGAGAGGAGGGGAGGGGGGAGGGGGACGGTACGTACTTGTAGTTATTATAGTTGCTACTTCTACGTAGAGGTAGGGAGGAGAGTAGTAGTTACGTTACTTCGTAGTGGTAGGGAGGAGAGAGGAGGAGG